TGCTGGTCCTAGAGACAGCTGGCCGTGAGTGGGAGGTGTACTGAAATCCTCATCACTCATTTGCCATCCAGCTTGATTTGAAAAAGCTATAATCACAGAAGGGCTATTGCTTTATTTAAGAGAAAAGACGTCACATTGTGTAAGAAAATTAAACTGAAATGGTGTGATGCAACACATCCTGTTCCTGAAAATAATGCATTAGATGCAACAGGTTAGAGATGAACTGTGAAAGAATAAATATGATTTACTAGCAAGAAAATAAAACATCAGTGATGGCAACTTCAATAAGGAACGTAATTCATGATTAAAATGAAACTTTAAGATAAACAATCCAACTGTAATTTTATATATACATATTTAACATTTTATTATTTTTGTTAATATTGTTTTATATATCAGATTTAACAAATTCTTATATATATATATATATATATATATACTGTATATAGATAGATAGATAGATAGATATAGATATATATACTGTATATATCAATTAAAAAATTGGTTGTATATAAAACCAATAATAATATGCTAAAAAAATACAGAATACAAAATAAAATAATAATACAAAATACAGCTCCATGGCCAGCAAGTATTATTTATGGGCATTACATTTTCTCAATTTAGGCCGGTACTACAAAACGTTTTGGACCCTGGTCCTAACTGTAAAGTTGAATCACAGATCTTACACCAAATGACTGACTGACACTCACTGCAATGAATGGGATTAGGTCAGAGAAAGTGATTTACCTCTACTTGTGCTGATATCTTCCGTACCAACAGTGTGGCCAATCAGATGGTATTGGTTGAGACGTGACCCTTCCTCTGCCACTACCACAGACATGCCAGGGCCTTTAGTCCATTTATACACCACTTCTGAGATAGGGTAGGCATCTGGAAAAACACACAGTAGTTTACACTTATTATGCAGTGATAACCGTTATTAACCAGACTTTGCGAGTACCTGGAAGATTAGTTCAAATTAAATGTAATCTGTTTAGTCCCGTCTTTGAATAAGGTTGCATAAGTGTAACCCACTCTTGATTGTACAGTCATTGTCAGTTGATTGCATTGCGATTTACATGCAGGCAACTTTAATTTCTCAGATTTAGGAGGTACAGTGTCTACACCTGTCAATCATGGGGAAATATCAGCTTCCTTTATTAACAGGGAGCATGTTTTTCTGACTCTGCCAAGTGTAGAGCTAGGGTAATAAATTTAATCATCTGCAACTGTGTTGAAAAATAGGATCAGACCATAAGGGTTAAAAAAAGAGATTTCATAGACACCTGCACCTCAGGTGAAGACAACTAGAGGAACACCTCAATAAAGTGACACGACCTGAAGAGATAGCAAGTCTTTGCATATGTTAAAAAAGTGTAACCTCTGTATAGTTATCCTGCAAAAAAGCAAGAGATCTAAAAAAATAAATAAAAAAAAATCAGCCACTCCTTTTAAAACACTGATCCACAAAAACCTTTTTTTTTTCAATTTACATTTTATTTTATAATTCACTATAATTATTTTTATTGTATATTTATGTATTTTCGTTAGTTTATTTTGCAAACTGTAATCAACTCATATTCAACACAATGTGAAACAAAATTTTCAGTAGACGCTAGTTTCACATAAAATAGCTGCAGCTTTACAGTTTCTTAACACTCCATTTTTTTCCCTTTCGCCCCCTCCCACCATCGTGACATTCAATCTTGAAGCAAAACATTAATCCTGCCACTCTCACGCCACATGTCTCCATCACAATTAAGATTGACTTCGACCATCTAGACTGAGGGATTATTCTGCCAACAATCTACACACACAGACGCACATAGCCTTAGATACCCCTAGCAAATTCCTGCAAACTAATTCACAATTTACAAATTGTCAGTCTCACCACCCCCACTCCTCTATTCTTCCCCTGACTAGGAAAATCAAACTCGCTATCCACTTTTAGGAAGCATTCAAACACAGTTCAGTTATAGTGAAAGCTCTCATCTGGGTACCCCTACAGATAATGATGTACTTTTACCAAAAAAACAGTGCCAAATTGCCTCGGATGGTCACAGAAAAGTCTTTTGCATGTTGAAATGCTGTAATAATATAAGGTATTATGTAAGGCATCATAGGCAAGTAGCTTCTAGGCCATTCTCAAAGACACTTCTCAGAATGGATAGTCCACTTGAGGGCAAGTCCACACATTACCTGTTAAGACTCTATAGGGCACCAGCCAAATGAGATTGTAAAGGTAATACTGAGTGCTGGGAGAGAGAGCATAGTTAGGTAGTTAGTTCAAAATGCTGGCAAGTCCTATAATTTTCTATTTTTAACTACAGCATTTTATACAACACTTTGTTATGCAACACTTTTGGGACAAATGTACTGTATTTTTACTGTTAACTGTAGAAAGTTCTATAAACAACTCACAGTGGGTTTTATTCATGAAACATGCACAGAATTGTTTAATATTTATAATTTTTTGCATTTAAATCAATAGGTAGATTTACACACAAATGGGTTTAAATACAATTTACACAAAAATGCTGTGTGTTTCATAAAAAAGGCCCAATGTTTTTATAGAAAGGAATCAATCTCTCTAAATGTTTAATTGTAAAACATCTTCCTCTGGTATTTTTGTTATTTTTGTTTTGCTATAGTGATAATTCCTATATTTTCCTAAGCATTGAAAAATCAAGTATCTCTGAGCTGATATCAAGTTTGTATTCTGTGTTATTTCCCTTTCTGACACACAAAAACAGAGCACATTACTGCTGTCATCATTATTGTGGATTTATGGTATGAACCTTTACCGACTGTGTGTGACATTTCAGACTTTTTGAGAACCCTGAACAAAACCTGAAACTCTTTTTTTAAGGGTTAGATATTAGTTCTCCTAAGGACAGTGTTTGAAGTGGAAATTATGGTATAATTATAAAGGTACAGTAATGAACAACATGTGCATGAGGAAAATATAGATTTTGTGTGTTTATATTATATCCAGAGCACTGTGGGAGATGTTATTCTTACTTTTTTGACATACTGTAGTCTGTAAGACATTAAGGAAAGAGCATTTGATAAACCAAAGGAAGTGACAAGGTCTAGCTAACAGAGGACAAAATATTTCTCATAGGTCAAAGGTGAAGACTTGAGGGAAACAAATGTAGCTCTTCATTATGACAGGGTCACCACAGCCCAAAGAGAAAATAGCCTGTAGAATAACCTTCTTACTCACACACGACTGAAACGCTTTCCAGTAAAATGAAATCATTCAGTGTGGATTGACTTGACAGAATGTGTGCGCGCATATACAGGTTTGGCTATACTCGAGAGTGCCAAAATTTTGGGAAATGTCCTCAAAAATAGAGTGAAACGTCAAACACCCACAAAGTGGTCCTCACTTGATGAGATGTCCTCATTAATACAGTAAAACAATGTGTGTGTGTGTGTGTGTGTGTGTGTGTGTGTGTGTGTGAGCTTATTTTATTCCAAGTCTAAATCAATTTTATATTTAATGTCAGAGTTTTCATTTTGCTTGTGCATCTCATTTACAATCCACTCTTGTTTTTAATGTAATATTGAATGCCTTTCAGCATTTCAAATCAATAACAACGTAAAGTAACTTAAAGAACTTAAGTAGCACTTAATTAATTCATTCAACAATTCGTGTTTAAATAAAAAAAAAAAAAAAGAATAAATATCTCTTTCTCAAACATTTGCTAATAAACAAGCTAGAATAAATATAGTCAGTGTTTAGAATTCCTCTCCAGATTTTACCACAAAAATGGCAGCATAAATAATATAAACTCCATTTATACAAAGAAATAACAAAAACAGCACTCCCTCCTTTTTTACAAACACCCACACCTTTCAACCTGTCCCTATAAAGCCTGTCTTTCCTAACACTGAGATTATGAGGCTTGGCTGCCCTAAGGTGACCCTAATACTCTATACATCAGCTAGTGACATCTTTAGCCATTAGCTAAGCAGGTTGAGAAGCAAACACAGTATTCTTAAAGCTGCAGGATATGTTTATGATTGTAAGGTTTGGTTGTTGAAATGCCGTTTTGTGTGTGTGTGTGTGTGTGTGTGTGTGTGTTTAGACATAGTTTGAATGATTATGCATATTTGTTTAGTGTCTGTCTACTGCCTATTCTTTAAATACCTGTTGACCTGTATCTCAACTCATTATTTTGTAGACCTACCTCTATGGTATATCCTCCATTGCTGACCTATGCCTTATCTTATTTCTCCCTCAAAACTCTCTGGGAAGAGATATATTGGATTAATCTGAACGAAAATATGAATCACCACCATTGGGGACCTTTACAAGGTTGACTCATCCCACAGTAATCTTTGGTCTATATAATCTTTTGAGGTGAATCTGCTGGCACGGGAACCCGAAGGCTGTACTGCAGTACAGGAAGTGCTAAATATACACTATACTGGTCATCTAATAAAACTTAATGGACATGGCAGAAAGTAGATATCAAAAAAAGATATACAGACTGAAGAATATGTAGTGAAAGACAGGGAGAAAAATATCAGAAAATTGTGACTTACTAATTTTGTTGTTGTTTTTGCATCAAACATTGCTGAATAATGACTGTATAAATGACCGTTCATTTAGAAAACCTACAGAGCTTTCCACTCAACAGTCTCTACATCAAACTAATATAATAATTAAACCAAAAATTACCAAATTATTTAATCTATATTTATTAATTTGAATTCAAGTAATCATGTAATAACTGGGTTAATATACAGTCAGACAGCTCCTAGACACTCCACAGTCTCTCTCTTCTCACATAATAAAATCATTTCAACTCCAATCAATATTTCATGTCTAGCCATGCAATGAGTGGGATAATGTACTGTACAGCCAGCCGATCTTTACAGCAACATAAACCCTCTCAGGGTGATACAATACCTCAGCTTCACATCAGGGACTATTTTGTGATAATGACAGGATGACTTTACATTAATCATGAAGTTAATGCCTTTGTACCTCAATGTGCTTAGTCCATAGCTGAAGATGTACATTATGTCTGTGGAGATTAACCACAAGAAAGATTGTCTGTGTCTATTTGAAGAGCAGAATATTCCTTAACAAAAGGCTTAACATAACGCAAACAATAGTTCCACAACTCCGAACCGCTGTCGTTTATACGGACGGCATTGCCTTTCTAAGGCATTTTGGTTGAGATGATAGTTAAAACCAGGCATCTGTCACCGTTATCCAACCAGCCAAACAAAAGCTGCTAAGTGCAGACAGAATTTATATAACCCTTTACATAACAGAGCACAATACTTCAAGTAAACACATTTGTTGTGTGATTTACAAGTTAAATCATTCTCTGCTGCCTGTATATAGAGTAACTCATGCAAGGGAAATAGTGTTAAACAAGTCTGTGAACTCTAAGTTTGTAAGTACGTATGAGTCCTAATAAAGGCTACATTTTCAATTACCACCTGACAATGAATAATTAATACCATTTGAGACATTTGAGATAGCTCACAGGGTGTTTTGAATCTTAAGTAGAACGTAAAATTAAAAATGACTAATTAAACAAAATGACTAAATAATAAAAGACAATCATTTCTGTGCAGGATAGTTCATGTTTATTAACACCGTACTATTCATTTGTGAAGATCGTGCTCAACCTTCATCAAATATTTATAGCGGATTAAGTAGTTCTTGCTTCTATAATAAAATAGGTAATTTATGAACAGATCAATGAGAGGAAAAAAAATGAAATCAAGTAAATGTTGTTGGATATGCTATTGTCCATAACGTAGATCTGAACAAAGCAAGAAAAAAAAATCCTGCCACACTTAAGGCAGTCTCCAGAACTGACAATAAGAGATCTTTTGTAAGTCTTGTAACTACTAAGACTTGTTATTATTGTTATTAAAATATTTTCAGTATACCAAACAAAAGAAGGAGAGTGATTTTTAGACAGCGTAGTATTTTAAATTGATCCAGTGTGGCTGGTTTAACATTAGTTTCAAGGATTGTCTGCATCCATCAATTTGGATTCAGGTCAAACCTCACTGGCTACTACAATTTTACTAGAGTGATTAGATTTTATACTGTACTTCTAACTACGTTGATGCTCTAATTTAAAAATCCATCCAATCACACTGGGAAGCCTATGAGATTCCCAAAAGCACGGATTCAAACTCATTTTAGGTCACGGGCCAGATTAGATTAAACGTCAATTTATGCTGGCCGATTATTTTATTAGTTTTTATTTATTTTTTGTTAAATCTTGATGTATTCATGGACAGTATAAGCACAATATGTGGTTTTATTTAACATTTGAAGTCCAAGAGCAACTTTCACAAGACTAATATATACACATACACAACTGATAATTAGAAATATTGGTCCCACTTTATATTAAGTGGCCTTAACTACTATGTACTTACATTTAAATTAATAATTTGGTGCAATGCACTTATTGTGTACATACATGTTTTTACATTGTACTTATAATTTAAAAATGCCTTCATGTAATTACATCTGCAATTAATTTCTGTAACTACATTTATAATTACACTGTTGACCCATCCGTTACACCTTAACCCACCCTTAAAGCTACCCAAACCACCAAACCTGTCCCATAACCTTACCCGTATCCCACCTCAATAGCAGCAAAAGTGTTTTGCAATACAATATGAACACAATAAGTACATTGTACTTATTTTTTGATGCAGGTACATAGTAGTTAAGGCCACTTAATATAAAGTGGGACCAAAATATTAATTACCACACGCAAAAAAAAAAAAAAAAATGACAGCAGTATAATTTCAGTGTCACTGAGATAGCTTTTATTTATATTTTGAATTAGTTTTTTTATTTTTATATTATCAACTTTTATTCATTTTGTTTCTTTTTGTAATTTTTATTACAGTAGTTTGTGTTTTTAAAATATTTATATTTAGTATTTATTAACTACTGCAATTTACTGCCATTTTAGTTATTTCAGTACCATTTTAGTATCATGTTAATCTAAATGAAAATGAGAATTATTGCCTTGGCAACTAGCTGAAATCAAATAAGTTTCATTTTTATTTCAGTTTAAGTTTATTTTATTTCAACTATAATAACCCTGGAACACAGCTAACAAAACAAATGTAACATATCAGCTGACGTGCTGTAGCAAAAGTGAATATTTTTTAAATTTAAATGTTTAAACGTTCAAATCATCCCACAGGCCAGACTACCCTATACGAGGTCTTCAAAACATGAACTTAGAACTTCAGGTCATGAGGGATTTTACTGTGCCGCTACAAATATACAACTGATCTGAAATATTCAGATATGCATGATCCTGAAAAGCACTGTCTGTCTTGGTTTCTGCTGTATCCCAACCCAAAGGCTCTCCATGCACAGCCCTATCCTGTAATGCCCTGAACATCAGAGAAACTTGAGCCCATCTCAGGTCATTCCTGGCTTCTTAGCACCAAAAAGCCTTCCTTTTGTGTGCGTGTGCAGTGTGTACGTGAGCGCGGGAGGGTTGGCAGGACACCTTCCTACTAATCCGGTCCTCAAGTCACCCTCCTCTCTGCAAACACCAGGTGATAATCTTAATCCTGCTCTTGGGACAGGATGCCACGTGATAATAAGACTAAACCAGACTCAGTACTATGTGTTCAGACATACCTTAAACACCAGTCCGTCAAGCTGTTTCTATATAATTTTCAAAAAGTGTGGTAGATTAGATAGATCTTATACTTGCATCTTGTTTATTTAAATTAGAGATATCGTTCAATGCATTTACTTAATAAAATGGATGTAATCTTGCATTTTGAGTAGTGACTATATACTTCATCAGAGGGATTCTTTTATGATTTCTTGGAATCTGCTGAAACATGTACAATGGGTTTTTTGGGGGGAATGGCGATTGTTCTTCATTCAGAATAAAACATAGACTATAGACTTACAGCTGCCAAATTTGAGTGGGCAGGCATGAGCATCCATAGGAAAATCCTCCAACTGCATGGGACACTCCGCTGATATGGTCAATCTGAAGAGAGAAAAATTAAAAATTAAAAAAATGTTTAAATTAAAATATGATTATCAGCACTTCTGAATATGTTTTAAAGATCAGTTTTTAGTATAAACATGTCTTAAGTAATCATCAGCTTAGTGACAATTGTCACTGGAGCTGATTGTAATTCCATCAACGTTCAATGTCTTGTTGAAAATCTTCCTAATGTAGCTATAGGCCTGAAAAGCTTGTGTATATTAATAGTAAGACTGAGCTTGTGTGTAGTGTTGAGTCTTGTCTTAGATGTATTTATACAAGGGTGCCATCAAGTGCCAGAAGTAGGAATGCTGCCAAATCGGTGAAGTAAATCACTGCTAATTATGGCTTTAAGCACACACACACACACACACACATACTTCACAAAAACATACATACAAATGCCATTCCCTATTCAATATTCAGTTTTGCATTCCAATCCATTTTAAACGCTCAAGCTGCATACAGAAGGATTTAAAAGATCTCTTTTGAACTGGCATCGCCACCTATTGGAATATTTGAGGACTACAAGCTACAAAATAATTACTGTGCTATGTCACTACCTTCAGTGCTATCACAAACTAGTGATGACTGATTCAATTTCAACTATTCAAGTTATTAAATTAGATAAACTAAAGCTACGTATAATTAATATTGTTGTTGTTGCTTTTTTATGGAATGAACCATTTTCACATTTCAGGGGTTCTCAGAAGCGGAAGTCTAGTTGTAGTGGTGAATGGAAACTACAAAAAATAAATTAATTAATTATTAATAACAAAAAAAATCCACCATAACTTGGACTATGACTTATCTATCTATGACTTTCCAAAAGAGGGGGAAAAATACTGAGAGATTGATTCAAATTAGCTTTCACTCTGTCAGCCTTTGTATTAGAAACACTCATGCAGCAGTGTTAACTAGTTTAATGTAATGTAATGCCAAGGTAAAAAAACAAAAAGTATAGTGTTATAAATGTACATTAAATTAAAAAAAAAAAGAAAATATAAAAAAACTTAGATTTAAGTTTAATCTTAATCTTAAATTAGATTCACAATGATTTACTAGATTTTAATTTTTCACAGTCAGTCAATCTTCAAACATAGATTTTTTTGTATAATATGATTATCACTTGTGAACTTAAAAACATTTAATTAAAGGTGCTATGGAATGATATTTATTGTGAAAATCGCTATACAAAAAAATCGGATTGAATTGAAAATGTTTCATGTATACATCTAACATTATTCAAACAGCGGGTTAATATATATATATATATAAATCACAGTATTTCATACACAGTATATATAAGTCTTTATTCGTGAAAAAAAAATAGTTTCCTTTATTCCTAAACGTTTAAAGCCCCTAATGTAGAGAACTCTGCAGTGGCTGAATCCTGGCTATCCCGTAGCCCCCTCTAGTGGACCACTTATGATACACAGCTTTTTAATTTTATAACCATGATTTCCTGAAAAGATTTAAGGCTAAACACATTAAATGTGATGGAGATGGATTTTGCAACTGGACAACATCAATTCATTCTATCTGCAAGAGTGCAGCTGAATCTGATTGCTGGATGTTAAAGAGTATATAAGTGATCTAACATGACATTAGAAATATGAAATGGAAGTAGCATCATATTATTATTGTCCTTCTTGTCAAACAGCCCAAAGGTTTCAGGCACTTCCCATTACATAGAAGTCATACATTCAACAAATACATCCATGAGATTTACAATGTCTGGTTGCATAAAGTCTATTTAAATCAATGTTCAAAGTGTGCTGCTAAAGCAAAAATCAGCTTGGCCATTTAGCAAAGCAATTATATGAGATCAAGGCTGATCATAGCTAGCATTACCATTATGGTTACAGGATGGCTGCCATATTATGCTGCTTTGTAGCCATTAAGCCCTTCCCTCAACATCCCGGCTGGAGCCTATTCAATGCTTTGGTGTAAGCAATGAAATAAGATGTCAGCGTTGACCCTCAGCTGACAGCGTAATGAAGGGTTTGATATTGCCACTCTACTGGAACTGCTTAAAACCTCCATCATCAGCATCTGAGGATGAGACCGGGGTTGAAGGGCCCGTGGTTGTATCTCTGACTAGAAATCCTGTGAGAATGTAATTAATGGGGCGGGACACGTGAGGCGCTGTTCCTTCACTTAATCAGCACAGGGCCTTCATCTCTGACAGCTCCATGATGAATTGCTGTATTGGAAAAATTAAGGACTGTCCTCTAAACTCAACCTCTATTCGACCAGCTCACATAACTTTATCAAAACCAGCCATATGGGAGGCGAAGGGCTTGCTATGTACTTACTGAACACAGTTAGTGCTAAGGTCAGCATGGCTGGATGTGGAGATGAAATGATGTGGCACTGGGGCCTTGACAAATCATGGGCTCTCAGAGCTGTATCCTGACAGTGAACTTTATTTGGTCTGTGACAGCCCATTAAAGCTCATAAATTATTATTTTCTGTTCTTCCTTTGGCTGTCTTACAAATTTCACAGGAACATTCTGTAGAAGTCCTATGTATCTCTAAATAACGAGTGCCAACTTAATAGTAATATACAAACCTAAGCTGTAATTATAAATAATGCACTTATTAAAATACTACTTTCTTATAGTTTCCTTAAATATTAAAGAGATAATATTGTAATAGATTGTACTTTTTAATATTAGAAGTGTCTACCTTTCAGATTGTATATACAGTGCATGCATGTGTCATTGCAATATCTAAAAAATTATGGTACATAAATCACTACAGGACTTTGTATTAATTTGCACATTCACAGTCAAGTAGCAGTTTGAAAAAACATGGAAAATCATGTATCTGTTCATTATATGTACATTTGTATACACAAAAATACAAACACATTAATTTATAAATTAAGGGGTATATCAAAGGTAAAATTTTAACAATTGCTCATTGAAAAATTCATATTGGTCGACCATTAATCTGATATCTAATATTGAGGCGGACATGTCCCTCTCAATGTCTATGTTGGTTAAGAAAGACCCTCTTTAAAAATGTTTTTATTTTATATTTAAAATTTTTACAATGCATGTTTGCCTGCTGCACCATTTGTCTCAACACTGAGCTCAAGCAAAGAAGTTATTTTAAAAACATGGCAGATCCTTCAGAAGATGTGACAGTTTCTAGAACATCTCCCTTTTGTTCGGTCTCATAACCTCCTTTTTAACTCTAATAAAAGCCTGTAGACTGCATTCCACTTTTAGAATGTGGGTGGTGAAACTGTTTTGCCCTGCTTTTTCATGGCAGCTAAGGTGCTCCTTTCCATTTCAGCAGGAAAAAAAAAAAACCTTATTGCTGATAACTTTTCCGGAAACAATGTGCGCATTAGTGAGTGGTAAAAGTATTAAGGTAGAATGACATCAAAAAGATTTGCATACGCAGGGTAAGAGTTGTGGAAGTGTACATAAGACTGTAAGCGTAAATTAAATTTGCATGCGCAAGAGAAGCTTTGTAAAACAGTCTTATGTACACTTCCACAACTCTTACCCTGCGTATGCAAATCTTTTTGACGTCATTCTACCTTCATATAAAAGGCTCTTTTAATGGTTCGCATGCACTGTTAGGAAATGCAACACTGGGCAGAGTTTATTGTAGGCAAGCTACAATAGCTCCACCATTGATTTCTAAATGACATGCTTCGAGTCATTTCCTCTCAGAGTCATTAATGTTTGATTGATGATCTTGTTCAATCTACAATCCAAAAAAGGAGCTACTGTATATCTAAGGCTTTAGCAATTGAGCAATTTTGTAATATGCATTTGGTCTCGCAATATGCAACACAGACAATAAAATACAAAAAAATAAATAAATAAAAAAGCAAAGATCCGCAAATGAGAAAGAAATGTGTTTCATGTAAATGAAATGATCCATGCTCTTTGACTTTTTCATTTATTTTATATTGCTTTAGCCCCACTACATGAAATCTAATTGTTACCTCTTTGTGAAACTCACCAAATCCCCCTTTGCAATTAAATTTGAGTTAATAAAAGCTTATAACTCATTATATAATGGATCACCATAAGTGTAACCTCAGGGAATAAAAAGAATTTATACATAACCACCACAATCTAAACACTTTACGATTGTGCTCCTCAAAATTCAGCACTTACTCAAGCAGATTCTACTACAGAGAGGATTTAGTATTGATGCCATTTGAGAACAACAATAGCGGCTTTTATACAGCACTAACACAGCAGTCTATGGTACTTGGCAGTAGATTGTTGCTGATGATAACATGGAGAGCAGAAACTGTGTGTGTGTGTGTGTGTGTGTGTGTGTGTGTGTGTGTGTGTGTGTGTGTTCTCTCCCTCTACCCTGATACTGCGAGTAATGGAGCAAACAGTCTGTGAAGAACAACTCAACAAGAGGGGCATAAAACATACAGCCACATGGCCTTTTCCGCTTTCTCCTTTTCCTTTGTTTCTATCTCTTGCATTGTCTCATCCCCATCTTGCTTTCTTTTCTCTGGAAAACCCTTAGGTTGGAACACCCTTGGATGACTGATCCAGGGCACAAAGAGAAAACAAAATAAACTAGATACAGTAGGTACACTAGGTACATTTTCTGAAGAAAATGTGCATGGAGTTTCAATAAAATTAAATTGCTTCTGGAGCCTCAGTACACTACTCAAAGTCAAAAGAATTTTTAAACTTGCAAACTAGGTAAAATTATCTATCCGGATAACATAAATGGGGTTTTGTCAAAAGTGCAAAAATAACATATGATTAGTCTTGGTAGCATCAGCAATGATGGACTGAAAAAAAAAACAAAAAAAAAAACAGTAACATTTTGCCACTTATGCCATAATTTTCCAGCAAAAGCATTTGTAAATTTTCCTGTATAATTATAATAGCTGTATAATTTAGAATTTTTTATTTTATTTATTTATTTAAAAGAAAGCTTTAAGTTTTATTTAAAAAATAATGTGTGTAAAAAGGTATAATATAACATAATAAAATAATTAAAAATATTCAAATATAAATATAACTAGCAATTAATTAAATTATAAATGTACAAATTAAAATAAAAAAAATAGAAAAAAATAATTTCTAATATTTTGTGTTAGGGCCTGTGAAAATGTTGGCAGGGCAAGTAGATAGACAGACAGACAGACGGATGGACAGACAGACAGACAGACAGACAGATTCCTTTGTTTCTATCTCTTGCATTGTCTCATCCCCATCTTGCTTTCTTTTCTCTGGAAAACCCTTAGGTTGGAACACCCTTGGATGACTGATCCAGGGCACAAAGAGAAAACAAAATAAACTAGATACAGTAGGTACACTAGGTACATTTTCTGAAGAAAATGTGCATGGAGTTTCAATAAAATTAAATTGCTTCTGGAGCCTCAGTACACTACTCAAAGTCAAAAGAATTTTTAAACTTGCAAACTAGGTAAAATTATCTATCCGGATAACATAAATGGGGTTTTGTCAAAAGTGCAAAAATAACATATGATTAGTCTTGGTAGCATCAGCAATGATGGACTGAAAAAAAAAACAAAAAAAAAAACAGTAACATTTTGCCACTTATGCCATAATTTTCCAGCAAAAGCATTTGTAAATTTTCCTGTATAATTATAATAGCTGTATAATTTAGAATTTTTTATTTTATTTATTTATTTAAAAGAAAGCTTTAAGTTTTATTTAAAAAATAATGTGTGTAAAAAGGTATAATATAACATAATAAAATAATTAAAAATATTCAAATATAAATATAACTAGCAATTAATTAAATTATAAATGTACAAATTAAAATAAAAAAAATAGAAAAAAATAATTTCTAATATTTTGTGTTAGGGCCTGTGAAAATGTTGGCAGGGCAAGTAGATAGACAGACAGACAGACGGATGGACAGACAGACAGACAGACAGACAGACAGACAGATAGATAGATAGATAGATAGATAGTAGGGATGCACCAATTCCACTTTTTTCAGAACGAGTCCGATACCGATACTTTCATTTTTGGTACTCGCCGATACCGATACCTGTATTTTCACAGCATTTGTAATTTTTTTTTTAATATTGGGTACAGAAACAAAATAATAGTAATAATAATAATAATATGAATCATGTTAGTTGGCTTCATTTAGCAAACAGATATTACCTTCAGTTATTTCCACACTTAATTATACCTGTTAAAATGTATTGTATAAGCTTTTGTTACTTTCACTGTTCATTTTAATGGCGCATTAGAGCTGCTCCATTGCAGCAGCTCAATACTGTAATCACAAAACGTTTTCCTAAAATAATGCAGGGAACCACTCGTTATACATTATACAAGTGCACGCGTACTGTTTTGGTGATGTAATTTGCGTCACGCGCACAGGGACGCATTATGACACAGCAGTGCCCTGGGCACGGACCGATTAAAGGCCCCCCTCGGTTGAAATTTCGTTCCTTTTTTATTCGAAATTTTTCCAAACTTGTTAACTATATCACGATTCTCAAATATAAGTAAGTACATTTTGCACCCTTATAGATCATGTTAGTTTATCTATAATGGGCTATAGGAAAAGTAGCCTAATATTAGTGTAATCTATTAACTAGCCTATGCATAAAACCCGTCTTTTAACTTGTACTAGATATGGGTTTCATGTCATAGAATATTTTTAATATGGCTGACTTTGTATTTAAGGTAAATTTAATAAAAACATTGCAAGTTACTAATTATAACACTTGCATTGTACATAAAGAGAGCAAAGAATATTTGCATTATCAAAGAATATTAACTTCAGTTAACTTCAACAACTCCCATTATAATCACTGAAGCTATTTATACTGTGAAATGAATATCTTACTTACATAGTACACACATCTGCACTTTGTTTATAATGAGAGAATTCGCCAGAGAGCCGCATTCAGTCAGCGAGCGCGCGCATTGAACAAAACACAGGCTTTTCAGCGATGACTCATCTGAATGCCTCTGATTGGCCATTGCATTCATAAGCTCAACAGAATCCTGTGTGATTGGTTAATGCGCAGCACTGTAAAAATGCGTCTGGCTCAGCCCAGCCAAAGCACGAACGCAGATTTACGGTAAATTTGGCAGCTGATGCTGTGCCGCACTGAACGTTCTAATCGTATCAAATATAAAATATATATATATTATTCAGCCATTTTTGGTCTTTTGGAAGCTGCATTCAAAATCCACTTTGCTTAAAATCCTGAGGGGGCATGGTTGAAATCGCGTTCTTGGAGGAGCAGTATTTCGGCTGGGCCCCCCTCTGATCTAGTGCCCTGGGCACGTGCCCGGTAGGCCCGTGCGTTAATCCGTGACGCGCCGTGTACACGGACCCTCGCGTACGAGTAAAAACCGAAGTATACTTTGGCCTTAAAGCAAGCTAAACATACGCAGCGTGCACACATTTGTATTGGTGCAGAATGAGAGAGACTCTTACAGCCTAGCGCATTTCACCCAAACTGCTAGTTTCACTCCTGCTTTAAATAAAGTTGTGTATGCTTGACATTTAAAATAAATGCTGTTTATAGTGAATGCCCCTATAATTTTTGTTTATTTTATATTTACGATTTAGTTTTAATCAAAATACATGCGCTAATGGAGCGAACAGCAATCAAGATCATGCAACAGAAGTGCGCGCTCTCTGACTCTCTCTCTCTCTCTCTCTCTCTCTCTCTCTCTCTCTCTCTCTCGCTCTCCTTACCGTCCAATAACTT